TGCTGCTCAGCCACAAGCCGGGCTGATGGCTGGCAAGCGCAGTGGTGGTGGTGGGAGCCTCTCATGCCTCCATGGGCCTGAGCAGTCAGTAGGACATCCCCCGAGAGCTCCCGAACTGCTAAAGGGTGCAGGCCGGGCTGAGGGACCCCCTACTCCCCACCCCCAAGTGCACGAACGTCGTGCACCAGGCCTCTAGTATATATATAGTACCTGAAAACAGAAAACATTCAATAAATATTTCTAAAATGAATCACTGAATCTCAGTCATTTTTCATTATACAGACAAGAAAGCTAAGATTCAAAGAGAATATGCTATTTGTTCAATGTCATTCAGCTACTAGAAACAGAGGCAGGAAATAAACCTATGTTTCTTTTCACTAATTTTATCATCTGAAATTATTTAATACCCAACTATTTAAGCTCCCATTTGTTGTGCTAGTGGGGAAGCTGCTCTAAAAGATCCTAGAATTCTTCTCTTCACATTTTGCTTTTCGGAGTTTAATGGCAGCAGGGTTTTCCATCCCAGCTTCCAACAAAGCTTCTAGGAATGCACTTGCCATGTAGTACAATGAGATTTTTAAAAACCTATACAACACAGAAAGGAAAGACTCCCATAAATTCCTAATCCTCAAATTAGATTATTTTTACTTTGTGCTGAGGGAAACCCTGTGGGCCTATGGATTTTTCCCTTAGATGCCATTTGCTATTTATCAAAAACTACTGATAAAAGAAAAAGAAAAAATCCTGGGCCTGGTGTAGTTGAAATTGGAAACTATACATGTTCTAATGCATAAATTGGTACGATCCATTTGGAAAAAAATATATAGCAACATAAAATGAATCATAAAAATGTTCATACCCTATAATCCAGCAATCTTACTCCTAAGGATTTATCCTGGACAAATTATTCAATAGGAGAAAAAAACTACATATACACAAATGTTCACTGTATCATTGTCTCTAATAGCAAAGAACACAACAAGAACAACAAAAAAGAAAACAAAATACATGAGAAAATGGCTTAGTAAATTATAGTATTGCTAAAAACAAATCACTCTTTAGCTGTTAAAAATAATAATCATAGCCCTGGCTAGGTAGCTTAGTTGGTTGAATCATCATCCTGTACACCAAAAGGTTGTGGGTTTGATTCCTAATCAGGACACATACCTATGTTGGGGTTCAATTTCCGATTCGGCATGTATGGGAGGCTACCTATTGCTGTTTCTCTCTCACATCCATGTTTCTTTCTCTCTCTCCCCCTTCCTGTCTCTCTAAAATAAAATTTTTAAAAAAATCATGAAGATTGGGTAGTGAGACAGAAAAATATCACAGAATTACATGAAAAGCAGAATACAAAAGGATTTGTATACTGTGATCATCCATGTAGATGAGTGGCATGTATGGGAGGCTACCTATTGCTGTTTCTCTTTCACATCCATGTTTCTTTCTCTCTCTCCCCCTTCCTGTCTCTCTAAAATAAAATTTTTAAAAAAATCATGAAGATTGGGTAGTGAGACAGAAAAATATCACAGAATTACATGAAAAGCAGAATACAAAAGGATTTGTATACTGTGATCATCCATGTAGATGAGAGCTGAAAGGTAACAGTCATGAAAACAGCATTGTAGGGTATTATGATTTGAGATGTTTTTACTTATATTTTTTCCCTCCAAAAATTTTTAAATGTTTTACTGTCTTTTCTGTTACCTAACAATTTTTAAGTTGTTTCTGAAACCAATTTGGATTTCTAAGTTTTGCTCTGATTCTCACTTAGAACAGAAATCTGACTCTTCTCATCTTAAATTAACAATCCTCTACTTGAAAAAGGAAAGCAATATAACATTTCCAAATGTCCAAATCTAAAGATGAAGAGCCAAAAAACAAGGCTGCATCCATTCATGCTGTTGCTGCTGCCTGAAGGATTGCTGATATACTCAGGAATCCAGAGAGGAGAGGAGAGAGGAACCACCAGGGCCCTCTTCAGAGTGGCAGTGTGCTCACACGGCCACCTGGAGAGAGGTAGCAGGGTAGCAAAAAGGTCAGTACCACTTTTACCTGCCTCACCAGATTGCTGCCTTGCATCATCTCCTTTCTGCTCATCTTTCACAGGTATTTTCTAAGGCCCTGCCTCTCTGGGAAAGCGCAGATGCCTGAGATGTCACAATGTCATGCTCTAGTTCAGAAGATGTCACAGAGAAGGATGCCTCTCAGCAGTCATGGCCAGTGTGCCTGACAGGGAGGGACAGGTCACTTAATGCCTAATGTCTGAAGGCTACTCAACTCGACAAAGAACTCAGCTTTGTTTGCTCTCCCAGAGCTGATCGGCCTAGGGAAACTGACCCACACGGACAACCCTAGGTGAGCCTTTTGTTGAAGCTACCTGCCTGCCTTGTAAAGGAGAGGAAGCTGGCTGAAAACTTGAGCCAGATAACCACCCTGGAGAGACAACCAATGAAAAGAATGTTAGGTGAGCAAAGAACCCAACACATAGTGCTGGTCCACTCAGAGAGGCCTCGCATTCAGTCAGGTGGCCTGACAGGATGTGGCTCCTCTATAACCAAGGAACCTGGCAAAACTGTCCAGAAGCAGTGTCCCATCACCCAGAACCCTACCTCCGCCTCTGGACAGTCTTGGTCCTTGCTACAGGACACCTTTCGTTCCCAAAGCTCTACCCAGCTTACCTTAATTCACAGAGCATCATTCCAGGGTCGTTTCCAGTTAGCTCAGCTCATCCCTTATAC